AATCTCGACGAGTTTCGTAAGTGTGACGCGCACACACTGAAATGGTGCATAATTAATTTGTTCAAACGAAAAATCGAAATAAATTATTATTAACTACTTATTAGGTGCAGATGTCGACATTCGATTGTATTCACTGCGGTGAATAGAGAGTTTATTGTTTTACAGCCACGGTAAACGATCGAAATCAGTAAATATTGTATGAGAATAAATATTCATCGAGGGGACCCCAGATGACGATCAAAAACTTATCTACATTTACGTTGAAACCGCAGGCCATGTAATGCGTGATTAACGGCAACTTTATCTCCCAATTGTGGTGACTTAACAATACCGCCGATCCCCCAATAAAGAGATATTTGCATTCATATATTTATATACTGCAAACGGTGGATTTAAAATTTTAATACAGAACTAATTTACAGATTTACACGTTGAATTTAAAATGTTAATACCGAAGGTAGGGTTAGATTAGATTGGTTAAAATAATTTATTCATACGAAAATAAGTGTTAAGTGTACTACAAGTATTATACAAATAAGTTGGGGTTCGCAATTATTATCTAATTTGTTATTTATTGTTGCAGTTGTAATGATATCATTTTTATAATAATTTAATGTAGTCGAAATTAAGCATAGTATAAATACAATCATATTGGGAAAAATTGAAAACCTTTAACTTTAAAAAATTAGAGGGAACCCCAGATTTAAAATACCAATTATGTATGAAAAAAATTATTTGCATTTATATTTCTGTCTAAATAAGTAAAATTCAATTTTCTAGCACGATATCGACGACGACGACGACGACGTCATATTATATTCTATTTTAGTTTGATTTAAATTAATTGAATGCAAATTTTAGATTCGAAAAAAAAAATGACCTAAAAAGTTGAATGACATAAATTAATTTCAGGTTTCTCGAGTTAACATACCGTTTAACAATACACGAGAAAGTCTTTTAGCTGAAGGCAACAATGACAAAGGCAGCGACTGGCACGATTTCTCACAGAAAACACAGATAATACTTCCGGGATGCCCGGAAAGGAGGAGAATGTAATAAATAACGTAATGAATCAAAATCACAGTAGCTCGTTTTGGCAGGAGTCAGATAAATTTAAAAACGGTAGACGACGATAATATTTTAATTATGTGCTGCTGTACATATTATATTAAAATATGTAAATATGCATTGTCTGTTGCAGTCTATTATGAAATCAAATTTATCATATTTATTATATTAGTATTATTATTATTATATTTAACACCGAAATTCACTAAAATTTATTTTATCCCTCGCATTATTATTCAATCGTACTTATTTTTCCAAGACTCCAAAGAAAACACACCCCGTCAAATGGAGAACGACGTCCGTCGCGACAAGGCCATTGTTTCCCTCGAGGCGCGTCCGGCATTTTAAGCAACTGCCTCCTTTGTTCAGAGAAACACCTTATGCTTAAAGGGATGTGACGGAGAATGACAGGAAGGCTGAGGCTGTGTAGAGATGGGAAAAAAATCTAAAGAAAAAACGAGGTAAAATATAAATATAATGATGATTTCGAATAAAAATTCCTGAGGAAAAAAATCACGATGGAAATACGGCTGCCCCTTACTGTTGGCCCAGTGAACTATCAAATTGGATTCGCCACGAGAATTATTGTATGCGGTTGGTCGTAGAACAAAAATCGAGTTATTTTCCAATTACAGATGTGCATTTTCTTACGTTCAAGTCACGAGACGGGTAAACCGCCGCCGCCATTTCCTACTCCCATCCCACCGCCACCTCCACCACTACCACCACCGTCCGCCACCGCCACCACCACCACCACCGCAAACATTTCCTATAGATTCGACAGCGAGTAAAACATATAAGACAACATCCATCCAATATACTTCGGAAGGTGGGTTCCGATACACGGTAGGAACAGTTACGTTTGTTTAATCAAAATCTGCTTACAATGCGCCTTTTGCTCTGTGCGCGATTTATTTCAAATAATCTATTGTAGCCTGAAGCTATACTTATGCAGCTTATATATCTAGACTACGCCAGAACTAGACTGCACGCGAAATTTCGTACTTAAATTGAATACTTTATTTTCAAATATGTTTCCATCGTTTTGATTTTCATCTGTTTCAACATGATGCAAGTATAATATACCAAAAAAACATTCACGTTAACTATGTACACCTACCGTGGTAATAAAACATAATAACTGTCTAATACCTAACAACAATATTATGATGTGCAAAGTTTATAAATAATTATTTGCTTGAAATTAAAATGTCAATAATAATGTGAGTATCTATGCAATAATAAAAACAGGTTATGAAATCCATAAGTTGATTTGTATAGAAAAATGTATTGCAAATTAATTGTTTTATTACACATTTTACTAATATATTATACGAAATATGCAGTTAAAGTTTAAAATTTAATTTTAATGGCTTATAATCCGATAATGCGACAAAAACAATCTTTGATATAATGTTACCTATCAAACAAAATAAATATATATTTGAAAACTCGAGCAGTAGTTATTGTTCTGTACATCACTCAGTCACTATAATGCAACGATACCCAACCGAGGGGGGGGGGTATAGTGATGATGGAATTAGAAAAATAATTATGTTATTTTACAATGAGTAAAATTGAAATCACCAAACTAGTTTCCAGATTATCGGTCATCGATAACAATTATATATTAGGTATAACGATAGAGCCGATAGACCGAGATATTATTTATACTTAATGTTAATATTTTTTTTTTATATTCAATATTTTTTTCTCATACTTAATATTATTACTTTGTAAATTGATTGAAAATACATTTTTTAAATGATGAAAATAATAAAAGTAAACATAGTTATAAAAAAAAAAATGCCTAAACTCTAATTTAAGGGGGATGAAAACGGTTGGGGGAACCGCTGCTGTAATGGATGTCTTCAATTTAAATTAAATTATAGGTATAAATACTTAATTGTATATTGAAAATTATTTTCAGCGTAGACATTATACATGGTATATTTCTATAGGTATTTTATGTTTTTTATTAGTAATACGGTGGGTCCTACTAATATATTGAAAATATTTTTGAATTACAATATAATTACTGAAACGGTTATTTTTTGTGTAAATTTGAATACTATGAAAATTGTTCTCAGACCCCAGTACAAAAAATAAAAATACCTAATAAAAAAAACCACACATCGTCCTAAAACCAATAAATTTATCACTCCAAGCAATATCTAAAACTATAAATTTATGGTTTATATTATTTGGATTTCAGTTATGTAATAGTGTAACCATGAATAATCATTACATTAAAGTAGAGACAACCGTGTGTCGTAATATAATTATAACCGAAAATGATTATTTATTACAAATAATGGATTACAAATTTACAACCATTGTATAAATAACTTCGTTTCGTTTTGTTCTTTCATTTTGACAGTATAATATGCTGGTAACACAAAATCCTTGTGGCCGTAATTATATATTATAGCGAAAAACAATAAATAAATGACAGTATGAAAATAATAGCTCTAGTGGAAACATAGACCATAGAAATACGGCTCTATTAGAGTTAACTTTTTGTTCGAATTTCCGTCGAAAATTAATTTCCTATACATACACATGTATTTAATTCTACGAGTATACTACACAATTTTAAATCTTAAATGTATAAAGGTTATTTTATTTTAATTTTCTATTCGATATCTGATCATAGTAAAACACTACAGCTTCTCAATGATAAAAAAAAATCGAGAAAATTCTGCTGTATAGTTATAGTATTTTGTGTAGTCATCATTGGTAAGGTAGTACCTAACCTTATATTATTAAAAAAATCCTCATTTACGTGAAAATTATGAAGAAAAAAAAACAGCAAACCAAAATGTTTACGCAATTCCGAGTTTTCACAAAATCGATTTTTGTTGATGTTCTTATTTTAGTTGCTGTAATTCAGGTATTTTAGGTATGGTATTTACTATTTTTTGTAACTTTATTGTTCATGTTTTTTTTTCGAAAACTATATACCTGACCATCAAAATTATTGCATTTTAAAAACAATGGCGTTGTGTTGATAGAAACATAAAATTACCTATAGGATATTGAAGTTGAATCCAAAATCAGTAAGAAAAGTTCTTATACAACCGTAATAGGTGTATTATATATTCTCAGTTTATCAGTATTGTTTTGAGTTGTTTCAATAAAGAACAAGAAAGAACCAGAATATATTATATATATATACGCGTTTAACTCCATGTCGATTTCAAAGTCAGGTCTTAAACCTCGATTTCGTCGCATTTACACAGTAAAAATATTCCGGAAATTGTATTTTGTTTATTTCAAGTCAATGTATTCAATAAAATTACAATAGTTGAAAAGCTTCATAACGAAATTCAGTGGAGCCCTGGAAGTTAACCACAGTCCTAATGTTTAAAGTACCAAGGAAATTCCTATGGACACACTTTATAGGGAAACTTCGGCGATTGTATCTACGCTTAGGATACACTGTAACTTGGGTCCAAATCCACTAAGGTCTAGAAGGAAGAGGGAAAGTTTAGATACGTGATAAAATTTGTGTTTCCTCTCTCCCTCCGCCGTAGTGTTGATTTGTGGCTGTTGGATGCGACCCATTACCCGGTGAGAAATTAGTTACCATCAACTCGACATGTAGTTTATTTGGATAATTTTAATTTATGATCTACCCGCAGTACAATAGTTTCTGTATAATGTCAATATTTTATGCTAGAAATTGCGATAATTACGTCTAAACTTCTTAAAATTAATCTTATCAGCTGCATGGTACAATAAAACTTGAAAACATTTTCAGAATGAAAATGTACAACCTTAAAAGAATTGCTCTTTAAAAATAAATATAAATGCACTAACAATTGTGTCGTTTGACTGGAATGCGTAATCAAGCAAATATGATTATTTATCATTATTATATCATTATTTAATAACTATTATTATGTTTTTAAAATTATCAAATATTATACCTCATTTTGGCCACAAACGATTGTGTGAAGTAAACATCCGAATCAACACCGATGTCTTCTTTGGCCAAGTCCAAATCCCAGTCACTAGTATACCGTATATATTTGCATGACAACGATCGAAAATCTGAAAACAGTTAATATTATTAATTCGTTATTTTACAAAACAATTTTAACCAGTCATTCAAATATTGTACTTTGATATGTACGATATGTTATTAGTTTATTACCCAGAGATGATCAAATGATCAATGATTATAATATTTGTGATAATTGTTATAATATTATGTTCATAATAATTATTTATGTTTGAAAAGTTACTAATAATAATTTCTTTAACAAATTGACCTCCATGACACTAGTTTTAAGTTTTCACAGATTTACTCAGAGATGCAACTACGTTTTTTGATTCATTATTATTATTATTATTTATTTATACAGTATTGGCGATAATATTTATAAAAAAAAAATGGTATTTGCAAACTTGTGATACCTACTGAAAGCGGCAACACTTTTTTGAGACCTTAAACGAGATTTCGCTGAAAATCGATTTCAGCGAAACTATATTATCGAGTAAAAATGTAGATTTGAGTGACTCGAAAAAAAATCCGGGGGTCAACCTGTTTTAACGAACAACTAATATTATTAGTACCCACCATTAACTTAAAATGTATACATAATACATGATTTTTCTATGCGTTTGTTAATTTTATTAAAGTGCCTAAATAGATTAAATTAGGTGTTTATAGTTACGAGATCATTAAATTTAAGTGCGGAGTCAAAATACACCATCTTTCACAGCATAGTGTTTTCGAAATGATTCGATAGAGTTGGAGCTATTTATTTTATACAAGCGAACGCCGTAGAAGAAAATATATACTTACATACATTTTTTTAGCTGAAAAATGGCTATATACCCAAAAAAAAATAAAATTACGAAACATCCATTTAATCAAGATAAGTAACAATACTAAATTGTGTAAGCGGTAATTAAAAATTGGATACACAATATTCATTTTGTATCATTTAAAATACACATATATATACCTTACCACGTTGAATTCCGATAGCGTTTACATCGCGTTAATAAATTAATTCAATTATATCAGTTTCGTTTAGCTGGCCTTTTTATTAATTGCATCGTGCTCCACTTATAAGGTTCATTTTTATTACCCGTTTATTAATAATAACTACAAAGACGTGTGTGAAATTATTTCATATGTGTTAATGCCATACGACTAGAATTTATTATATAACCTCCACTGATGTTTTGTCAGTAAAGCATTTGAACCTGAATATAAAACAATTAAATAGAATAAGTTAAGGAGAAAAAACAGTAATAAAACGTAATATATACACAACTGTTATAAGTAGTATAATACTATAGCTTTTCGACATCGAAAATAAAAATCTCCCGTACGTTTATAATATTTAAAACTGTATTAGAATACGAGACATTGCAATATTGCATGCAATGTTTATTCGAGCTTCATAGCATTTAAATCAATAATAACAATATTATATTATGTTGTATTAAACGGTTTTATATTTGTTTTAGTTTCTTGCAGAGAGGAGATTTTTAAACGAGGTTTTTAAAAATAAACTTAGGATAGTACTATGTTTTTTATCGTTTATTACAATATGCTGCACATGAACATTATTATATGAATTAATATTAAATATGAAATTTACAATGTTGACCTTACACGTACGTACTATATAGGTGTTTAAAACGCCATGTGAGCTACAGCATTAAAAGCAGTCCAGTTGAGTAATGATATAGTTGTGGGCTAGGAGTACTATTTATATTAAATTAACAACTGGAACAATCATCGTTGCACTCAAAAAACAATATTAAACAGATTATGAATTTTTTATGATACCCACTCTCAATGATTGATTATTGTAAGATATTTCAGTATGACGCAGTACCTACCTAAAATATAAGCTACGTCAAACTTCAAATTCAATGGAATTCGTTACATGAAAACGATAAACTACCATTTAACATTTTAATCTCAAGTTCTTAAAAAGTTTTTCAAAAGAAAAAGTTTTTATTTGTTCTAAAACTAAACGTGTCTATTAAAAAATATTAAGCATTATTAGTAGGTACTTGGGTCGATTATTCTAACATTTTTCGTAGAACCAATTGCGTGGAATTAATTCATTATTTTAATTTGTATACAATGAGATATTAGGTTGGGTTATACGGTTGTTGGTTTTTACTTATAATAATCTTATCTCAAAAAAATTTCAAGACACAACTTTTTACATTGTTTTACATGAAAATGTGCATCAGATTTGATTTAATTTATTTTGCAAATGGATTTGGTTACTTTAGGTAAACTATTAGGTAATACAATACAATATATATATCATATTGTTTTTATTCTGTTCTTTAAACGATTTTCATTTTCAATTTGTAACGAAAAGAAAATATGATTTCGATTTATTTGTTAATGTCATAGTTGATCTTAAACCATAAGTAAACTAACGATTGATCAGACCTGACAAGTTAAGATTGTTTGTCAAAGCTTAAGCTGGGTTGAAAAGAAAACAACCAAAACAAATTGACCATCAATACCGGATTTATATATTTCACAATTATTGTATTAATATTTAATCAAATATAAACACAATTACTATGATTGTTATTTGATATTTAATACTACAATATTAGTTAATTCGTCTTTGTAAAAACATTATTTCATGGCTTTTTCAAAAATAAATATATTTATCATCTTCGTTTTATCTTCTATTATCAAATGATCGAATTGTAGTGACATAAAAGTAAAATGTGAGATTAAAAATAAAAGAATAATAGCTAAATTTACTTTGTTCTCATATTTTTATGATAGTAAACTTGTACCTATAGATAATTAATATGAATTTAACAAGAACAAATACACCGATAAATAAAATGCAAATTATTTACTATTCATTTTTCTTGTGATTTTCATTAGAGCCTAATATTTTATTAAAATGTACCTACATACGTAAATAGATATTATTTTATATAACATTTAATTTATTCAACAGCTACTTTTAGAATGACTACCTATTTCATTTTTAATTAATTTTGGGACCGAATTTGGGTGGTCAATATCTGTTTATTCACAACAAATGCTAATTGAGCATTTTCGTCCTCGGCTTAACGTTTATGAATTTTTCAATGTTCAATTTTTTACGGTTATTACTATTATAGGGTTGAAATAATGCAAATTTTAAAACTACAGAGAATTATTCGAGATCATTATAGAAAAATAGAAAATTATGAAGTAAGTAGCAAATTGATTTTGTATTACATTCATATTATCATACAATAATTCAAGTTAGAAATATTGTATTATTATAAATAGTAATATTGCTTGAGTGCAATTATTTTTTAATAAAAAAAAAATAATAATAATATTGAAAAATAATGATATTGAAAAGCATTGTTTAGTATAAAAAGCTTCTACTTATTTTTGTTTTTATGTATATATATAGTCCAGGACAGACTCCTTTAGGTTTAAAAATATGTTTATTGTTTATATGATCCACTGGTTCTCTTAAAAATTAAACTTAATAACCTCATAATATGTGTTTACTTATAAATTTATAATATTTATTTTATAATGGCGAACATTGCGTATTATTTTATTAGAGTATTATATTATATAATGTTCAAATAATAACTATTTAAGTAACATAATTTATTATAATACCTGTAATATATCAAAACATATCGTGAAGTATTAGACCTTCCGTAAATTAAATCTAACAAAACTAAACATAAAACATTATCGTTATTGTGCACAAAACACTTTAATATAGGTATTAATTAAAAAGCTTTAACTTTCAGCTAAGTAAATAAAAAGGAAAATAGTGAACTGTTGCAATTCCGAGTTCAGAGTAGTTCATTTTTAATTTTCACCCTGCAGATCGTATAATTGCCTCAAGTCTGTTTTTACACACTATTAGGTATTTATCGTAATATACAAGGAACGTCTATGAATACTGTAGGATATCAAATATTCTAATTCCTACATTTGAGAGTACTGCCAATGTATCTACTTTCTATCTATGGTCCCCACATCAAATTTCGGACCCTTTATCAAATGTTTTTGAGGGCCCTATACAAAATGTTCAATAAAACACAACTTATTACAAGCGATTCGAGTGTCATACACGGGATTTTTACTTAATATATAGTATAATATATATTTATATCATAAAATAGTATTTAATATAAAATATGTATTAAATATAAAATTTTAAAATTTCAAAAATTAGAAATTCATTTTAAAGGGTTTCTGTGCTCCGGGTTCCAAAGTGGTGGGTGCGCTACTTATATATCTATGTATTTTATGAAAAGTATGTCGTTGTTAAAAGTAGAGTTGATAAAAAAATAAATATACAATTCAATTAAACGATAAAAACGTACAGACTTTCTTTTAAATTTCTGTCATACAAAATATTATACAAATAATTTTTAATATTTTCTATTATTATACAGTTTTTTGATGCTCATAGATCGATGAAACTTATCGCCAAAGAGATATTTATAAACAAAAAATGTACAACTCGTCAGTCATCTGTAACTTTTGAAACTTGGAATTGGTTTCAACCATTAGAGATGCGCATTTTAATTTAATTCATGTGCAATAAGTGCCTCTTAAAATACAATCTCGATTTAGAACTTTTTGCTTGACTCACAATTTAGCTCTAGTTTAATAAATGATAATCATAATTATTTATGATACTTCAATAATACGTATAAAATATTTTCTTCGTACTTTATGATTAATATAAAAAAAATATTTTTTATTTAAAAAACTATTTTGTGTTCGAAGAATTAATGTCGCCTAGAAATAAATGTTTAAAATTAAAACTAATGAAACAAGTTTTGTGCTAGAAAAAAATAAGTTCTAATTCATAAAATTAATTTGAATTCTGAAAAAACTTTGATGCATCACGAATCAACAATGTTTGTTTGGTTTACTGAATTCAAAGAATCCTTTTTTAAAATGTCATGTATTATAGTGGTGAATATTTTATTCAATTAATTTTAAAGTCGTCGTATTTTATTAAAGTTTTAATTAAGGGTGAATAATCTTATCTGTCAAAATATAACCCGAGAAATTC